GCACGGCTCGGTCCCTTTTTCTCACTTTAATTGCTCCTTTTTCAGCTCCTTTTTCTTCCCAAACTTTCCTCATTTCTCTCCCTTTTCTTCCCTTCTTTTTTCTCTCCCTTTTCTCATTTTCCTCTCCTTTTTCGCCATCCTTTTCCTCTTTTCTCTCTCTTTTTTCCTCCCTCCTTTTCTTTTTCCTCTCCTTTTTATATTGTTTGTCCTCTCCCTTTTTTCCTCCCTTTTCTCTTTTTTCTCCCTTTTCTCTTCTTTTTTTTCTCCCTTTTCTCTCCTTTTTTCTCCCCCTTTTCTCCTTTTTTCTCCTTTTTTCTCCCTTTTCTCTTCTTTTTTTTCCTCTCTTTTCTCTCCTTTTTCTCCCCCTTTTCTCCTTTTTTCTCCCTTTTCTCCTTTTCCCCTCTCCTTTTCCCCTTTTCTCCCTCCCTTTTCTCCATTTTTCCTCCTTTTCCCTTTTTTTCCCCCCATCTTTTTCGTGCTTTAAATAGAAATATATAATTAAATTTACAAATGCTATTTACAGGTTTAATTACAAAACCAAAAAAAAAAACTTTTCAAAGAGAAAGAGAGACACCCCTTAGCCGTTAATAAATCTAAAAAATAAAAATATATAATAAAACCCTCCCCATCCCCCCCAAAAATTCAAGCCGAAGGGCGGCGGCCGGGCCGGGGGGGTCACACCGTCGTTTCGCCCTGCTTGCTGTTGGTGAGCCGCGTGTAGAACTTCCTCCAGGAGTGCAGGGTTTTCCCCGACCATATCCAAAAGCCGGAGGTGATGCCCACGATGAGAGTCATGAGATACTTGATCATGTAGACGGTGAAGTCGGGGGTCATGCGGGGGGTGAAGTGGAGCGGGCAGGGGATGGCCAAGCTCTTGCAGTTCTGGCTGATCCAGCTGCGCTCCCAGTGCTCGCGGAAAGCCTGCTCGTAGAAATAGCACGCGATGACGATGGTGGCCGGGACGGTGTAGAGGACGCTGAAGACCCCGATGCGAACCATCAACCGCTCCAGCTTCTCCGTTTTGGTGCCGCCGTGTTTCATGATGGTGCGGATGCGGAAGAGGGAGACGAAGCCGGCCAGGAGGAAGGAGGTACCGATGAAGAGGTAGACGAAGAGCGGGGCCAACACGAAGCCCCGCAGAGGGTCGATGTTGTTGAGGCCCACGAAGCAGACGCCGCTCAGCAGGTCCCCGTCGATCTGCCCCATGGCCAGGATGGTGATGGTCTTGACGGCCGGCACGGCCCAGGCGGCCAGGTGGAAGTACTGGGAGTTGGCTTCGATGGCCTCGTGGCCCCACTTCATGCCGGCGGCCAGGAACCAGGTGAGGGAGAGGATGACCCACCAGATGGAGCTGGCCATGCTGAAGAAGTAGAGCATCATGAAGAGGATGGTGCAGCCTTCCTTCTTGGTGCCCTGTACCACCGTGCGGTAGCCGTCCTCCTGGAAACGCTCGTTGCAGACCACCCTCTCCTCCAGCACGAAGCCGGCGATGTAGGCCACCGACACCATGGTGTAGCAGCCCGACAGGAAGATGATGGGGCGCTCGGGGTAGCGGAAACGCTGCATGTCCACCAGGTAGGTGGTGACAGTGAAGAAGGTGGAGGCGCAACACAAGACGGA